CTTTCATTCCTTGTTCTGACATGTGTCTAAGTTTCTAATGCCATAGCATTGCAGAATCTGAACTAAATGAGGCAACAGAGGCTTCTGCTTCTAGCAAAATCTCTCTATTCAGTATATACAAGTTTGCTGATATCTTTTCACCTTTCAACACCACAAGCGCTCCACGGAACACCTTCATGATTCGTTTCTGTGTTTCAATCTTACTTGCATTATTATCCAACAATCCGTAGGATAATAAATTTTTCTTCAGGCCTTTCACGTGTCGCACATCTCGAACAACTTTAATTGTTCCATCATACATCTTCAATTTGATAGTTCCCACACCAATGATCTCTAAGGCATGATCATTACAACTATACACAGATCCTCCTGAGACAGGTTCATAATGATGGAACCATTCTCTTCTTGGGGTCATGTGATATGTTGCTCCCGAATCAATGAGCCATATATCTGCATATCTCTTTCTACCTTCCACGGTGGTTGACGCTTCACAACATAGAGCATCTCCATCATCTGAAGTGTTTGCGGTATTGCCTTGTGGATTAGAGTTTTTATTTAGACTCCAACAATCCTTCTTCAAGTGACCATTCTTTCCACAATTGTAGCACTTTAAATTCTTCTTGCTCATCGACTTCGATCTACCATGTTTGTGACTGCTACTTTGGCCACGTTCTGTTGATCTCCCTCTCATCGTTGTCAACGCTTCTGCTTGTTGCAGATTTACTTGTCTGTCTTCCTTGTTCTTGCGTCGATTTTCTTCTTGTAGAACAACAGCTGCAACGTCATCGAAGACTAGACTAGTGACATTACTATTTATCAAGTTGATGATGAGTTGATCATACGAATCAGGTAGACTTTGAAGTAGAAGTTCAGCACGTTCTTGTTCTCCTATTGTATATCTTAAGAATGTAAGCTGAGAAAATAACATGTTCAGTGTGTTTAAGTGCTCCTTCACTGAAGTAGATTCTGGCATCCGAAGAGTGTATAATTTTCTCTTAAGGAAAATTTTATTGTGCAGCGATGTGGCCTCGTACAGTTTGGTGAGATGATCACATATCTCATTAGCTGTCTTCTTCTTCTCGATGCTTGACAATACTTCATCTGGTAATGCTAGATGAAAGTTTGCCATAACATTCACGTCCATTTCGATCCACTTGTTGTCATCTATGAAATCCACTGGTCTTTCACTGATAGCTGCTAGACAACTGTCTTTTCTCAGGATGGCCTTCATCTTCAATTTCCACAATGAGAAATTTCTCCCATTGAATTTTTCAATATCAAATTTTGTTGCCATAACTTCTTTTACGGATAGCTCCCACTATTTCACTATCGTGAATAGTTCTCTGGAACCTTCAAAGAATGGGTAATACCTTCTTACTTTCTTATGTTGAAGGATCCACCTTTTGGTGGCAACAACAAAGACAATAAACATATATTACACACTCTAATATGGCTTGACTACCAATTATTGCGGAAGAAAGCTATCGGATAGAGCAAAATCGCAACTGATAATTTGAGAAAATAAAAATGAAGATAAAGAAGACACAAAATTTATGTGGAAAACCCCTAAATAATATAGGGTAAAAACCACAGGCAGCGGTAGAAGAATTTCACTATGAGAAAATAGGAATTACAACTTCTCTCAATCTACCAAGGAGAAAATAATGATAATTCTCTCTAGATAAAAAAGAGGAAACAACTCTCAAGAAACTCTCTAAATTCTCTCTAGTATTGGAAGAAAGCTAGAATGTTTTGGGATGGTTTTGAAGCTAAATGAGCTAGGGTGTTTATAGTTGAAGCTTAAGGACTAATTTGTAAATACCCTAAATTACAATGACTAAAAAATGATTTTACCATTTAAAAAAATTCAACAAGATTAGGCTGGAATTTTCGGTGCATTGATTATAGACACTTTCGGTGTCTTATATTGTTAACTTTTCAACAACACGTTAATAGTAAAAGATACATAAAAATATCACATTAATAACATACGTTGATTGTTAATAAATCAACGATTTTCATTAAACATATGTTGTTTTGAACAAAAATTAAAATGTATGGAATTAAAATACTTCAAAAAAAAGACTAAACTGATTAATTAAGTAAAAATTGATGACTGGTTTTAATATAGTATGATGATAAAATTACCCTCTAATATCTCTACAAGTGGTCATATTCTCCTATATTTTTCTTTAAATATGTTAGCTTCTAATATTTCAATTTTTTTTATTAAAATAGATCATGTTGGATAGAAATCATTTGTTGAACGACGATCGACACATATTACTTACGTGATAATTTTATATACTCAATTAATGTTGGATAGGGGTTTAATTGGTTAAAGCAAGTAATTAGTTTAGTATTGTAGAATAGAATATGAAGGAGAGAAGGCGTAGGCAAAGGCATTGGCGGAGGAGCACACGGGGAGACCACTAATGGGATGCTTCCAAAAGACTCAACGTGCAAAGGAATGAATAGGGGAGACATCCACAGAGGAATAATTCTTTAACCATCAAAATATACTAATAATAAAAAGGAGGAGAGTGATAAATCCCAGGAAGTGGAAGGCAGAGTAGAAGGGAATAACTGAGCAGTGGTGAGCCTAAAGAGAGAGAGGAGCGGGGTGGTGGTGGCTCTTAGCAAATTGGTGTCAGAGTGGGGGCACTCTGCACATTTCAGAAGAGATTCCACATCAGGATAACTCCCATTACTAAACGCCCCCCTCTTCTTCTCCTTCCAGTACTCTTCCAACCCAACACCCGCCCCAATTAGTCACCTTTAGCTTTCCCATGCAAATTTTATGTGTAAACAAAGTACTAGATGCTGTTGATGGGTAGTTCTGGTGTTCTACTATACTATATATTATATTATACTATACTTTAGCTTTCCCATGCAAAATTTATGTGTAAACAAAGTACTCTTCTCCAGCTTTTTAGAGATAAAATTCGGTTTAGAGGTAAATTTATCATTTTATCCTTTCTTAACGTTCTCAATAGGGACGGGCATGGGTCGGGTCGGGTTTTTTGTCCACCCGACCCGAGAACAAAGGATCCTCCACCAGAGATTCGACCAAAACAAAATTTCACCCGACCCGACATATAACTTAGAAACCCGACCCGACCCGATCTAAAATAATAAAAAATATTATTTTTATTCAATAAAAATAGTGACTTAATTGAAAAAAATTATATATAGAGGGGTATTATTGTAATTATTCTAAATATATAAGATAAAATCATATATTTTTTCGTGTAGGGTCGGGTCGGGTATTTTTCCCCTTAAACCCGAATCCAACCCAACCGAACATCACACTTAAAAAAACCCGACTCGAACCCAATTTTTTTTTAAAAAAAAAAACTCGTAGGATTCGACTAATGCCCATCCATAATTCTCAACTACTACTTTTACCCAAGAAAAAAATATTCGAAAATCCATTTTTATAAATTCTAGATATATAATTATTGTTCTTTTTTGATAATCATTGTTAATATTAAAAGAATAATATATTTTAAATTTAAATTGATATATTTAATATATTAAAATATAAATCAATTTAAAATAATATATTTTAAATTTATTATATAATGTATAAAACGACATTTTACCTTCTCGAAAGTACTTTTTAAATCAATACCAAATACTAAAATTTTAAACTCGGTTTTTCAAAATCACTTTTAAAAATATTTTCTCACAACATTTTTCAAAAACAATGTCAAACCGGTAAGGGGATTTTTAATTTAAAATATTATTTTATTAAATTTCAAATTATACAATCTATTATATTTTTTATTCCTACGAAAAAGTTACATTGTGATAAGTTCAGAGTTTATAATTGAAAAAATTATATAATTTATAACAATTTTAATTACAACAAAAATTGTTATTAATAAGATAATATTTTCGGTTTCGTCCTTAAATATTAACATGCTGAACCTAAAAAGGTTAACCTTTTAGTAAAATTTTGTTGTATTTTAGACTCTCTTGTCGTAGTTATATGTTAAATTTGACACTCTTGTTGTTTTTGAAGTAAAATGTGAGTGTTAAACCAATAATCAGCTGATCTATTAGGATGAAGCACTAGATTTCTTGAGTAATGTCAAGGGGTCGAATCCTGACGTTTGTGTATGGAGCAAACTGACTTGGGAGGGTTGCCTCCATAATGGGTCTCTGCAAAACACGATATAAATTAATCGATCAATATATTAAATACCAACGATTAATTAAAAAAAAGTGTGTTTTCAAGCATTGGATTTAAAAGAAGTATAAAATTTGATGGTTAAATTTATTACTATATTAATTTATGGTAATTTTCACGTCATCTCTAGGATGGCAACAGGTCGGGTTCGGGCCGGGTATTGGTTCCCTCGTCTCGTCCCCGTTTAAAAAACTCGTCTCCGCTTAAAAAACCACGGGATTTAAACGGGGATCCCCTTTAGGTAATCGGAGAAAACCGCGGGAAAACGAGTATCCCCGTTTAGCATAAACAGTTATTTAAACGGGTATCGGGCCGGGTATATATATTTAAATTAAATATATATATATATATATATATATTTTAATTTAAATTAAATTTATTAATATTATATATATATAATTATTTTTAATATTTATCGGGCCGGGTATCAGGCCGGGTAATCGGGTAATCGGGGCGGGGATTACTAAACCCGTCCCCGTTTAACATAAACGGTTTTTCCTCTTCCCCGTTTAATTCGATTTTCGATTTTCCCCGTCAGATTCAGATTTTTTTTCATCCCTAGTCATCTCTCATTAAATAACAATAACGGGTCGATTTATTAATATTTTTTCAGTCAAGTGAGCATTTTGTTAATTTTTATAATAGTAGGAATCAACAAAAAAATCCATAATAATCGAGAGGATATTTACATATTTATCTATTCATTGGAAGAAATGCCATGTAGAACTTCCTTTCCAGTTATGTTTAAATTTTACGATCTGAAAATTCAATGCAACATCTAATCTTTCCAGTTCAATTGAATGTTTGATCGATTAGATTGGAATCTTGGTCCAATGCATCTGGGCTTAATACAACCTGTGCCTATTAGGCGTTGGGATTTAGGCCCAGTCGGAAAATAGGATAAAATTCCAGAGAGAACTGAAGGAGCAGCGGGTGGCGTGCGCGCGCGCGAGAGAGGGCTGGAGGAATAGGAGCATTTGGGGGAACAAGAGTGCTGGAAATAGTGAAGAAGCACGATTCAGGCGGCCTCGTCTGGAAGAGAATTAAGTTCACCTCTACCCGCAAAGCCAACGCCAAGAAGCGTCTCCGTCGCGATTGGCAGGTCTCTCTCCTTTTTGGCCTTTTTACATATTTTCTGAGTTTTGACCTTGCTAGTTGATTTTATTCTTTGAATCGATTCTGTTAGTTGTTAGGAAGTAATTAGAATTCAGGGATAAATATCAATTGTAGGAGTATGTTGTGCTCTATACATAACAAGTTTAACATTTGGCTGTTCATTACATTTAGAGCTATGTATATTTGGACTCAGACACTGAATTTAGTTTCAAATTTTGTAATTGAAAAGTCAAAAATCATACATGCTCTAGATAGCATAGAGAGTTTAAGTTCATATGGTATATAGTCTTGTTAACCCAGATTTCATATTGAGGGTATCCATTGTTCATGAATGATGTTTTCGTCTTCGTTTTTGTCTGTTCCTTTCCTATAGCTATTGCAAAAGGGTTCTTATATTTTATGGTCATTGGCATGAATGGGGGTATTCTATGTTGATCTAGAACTAGTTTTGACTTTGAGAGCTGAAGTTCTGTTTGTGTTTATTTTAAGGGGTTATAGTTGTAGGCTGGGGTTGGCATTAGATGATTGTGTCTGATCAGTGAGCTTTTAGTTCAGTGGTTTAGAACTAAGCACGTTTTATCCGGCATATGACTTTGGAAGATCATACAATTTTTTCTATTTCCAAATATGTCAGACACAAGCTTGTGACATGGATGCTTCAAGGAAAATTGAGAGTCTGATTAACATTGCTGAGGACATAGAAAGTGTTAGTTAATCCTGAGTCTTGAAAGGATAGTACAAGGTTCAGGCATGATGGGACATTTTTACTTTATATCTGGTAACTTGGTTGGTCAATTAACAGCTATCATTCTATTTGGACGAAGTGTAGTTTAAATTCTATCATTAGTTTGTCTACTTACCATGAGTGTGTACTCTTGGTGGTACAGAGATGAGAGAATCTTCATATATTGTCTTTGGGCCTTTTCATTTGCTTTTGATTTAGACTCCTTGGGTTATGCTAAAAATATATTATTTACTTGTACCCATGTAATATTTTGTGAAAAATATAATTATTGTAAATATAAGTAGTTGACCTTTTGTAGTGGCCTTTGGATGGTGGATTTAAATCCTTTGCCAATTGTAGAACTTAGCCTGCTTATATACCAGTCTTGCTTTCCTTAAGGTCCAGTGTTTTCAGGTGTTCAAGCCGCTCTCAAGGCTTTAGATTTCTTAAGCGCTTGCCTGCGATATGTGTATTATATCTATGTATAAGTGTGTGTGTGTGTGTGTGTGCGCGTATACGCTTAAATATATAGTTATGATAATTAACCCCTATATTTTTCAGTTCTCTGGTGGAGGAAATTGGGGATTTAATTACTGCTATGGACACTGTTCTTAGATGGATTCCTAGGAGTTGTAATATGGAGGCCGACAAGTTAGCTAAGCAGGGGATTGGTTGATTGTAGCAGGCTTATTGTTTTAATGTTTTATATGTTTTGTGTTTTTCTTCGGGATAGGTATAGGCTAAAAGTCTGTAGTGGTGTTGCTAGTTTGGTAAACAGGTCACCCAATCAGAGGATGTTGCCTTAGCTTAGTTGGTTTAGCCTAAGTTAGTGTTGTTGTATATGGTTGTTTATGGGTGTTTTGTGGTTTTCTGTTTTTGATGGGGGCGTTTCTCTGGATGTATCTTATGTAACTTCAGATGTTGAATGAAATCCTAAGGCACTCTTTTCCTCCTTCCTCTGATTAAGGAGCTTTCTTACAAGCTCCATTAATCAAGAAGGGGGGTTTTAACGAAGCCTTCAATTCTTATAAAAAAAAATTCTAAAGAGTGGTCATGTACAAAACATGGAATTTTTGGTGGCCAATATACATGATTAATTTATGGTCCCATATTGTTGGAGGTTAAAGATTTGAAAAGTAGAGAGTTAAGACTTGAGAGTGGTCAAGTTATCTACAAAACATGGAACTTTTTTGTTAGCCGATATGCATGTTTTCTTTGTGGTCCCATATTGTTGCATACTCAACTCAGCTATCGGGAAGTAGAGAGTTTGATACATCTTCCTTTTTACAAGTAAAGGTACATTCAATAAAACAAAGTTATGAATAAAATAAATTAAAGAGAACTTCAATCAGACAGGGTTTTCTTACGCATATTACCTTAAAAAGAGTGCATTGCCCAGCACGCACTTGATCAAATGTGCCTTTCTGGAAAGGGTGGGAGGCTTTCTTGTTGTCTAATGGTAAAGCACATGCCTTGACAACACTGAGGCCCGGATCTCCCAACTGAAAAGCCACAAATATATAAATCATTTAAGGAAAAGAAAACAGGTTTTGGTCTTCCATTTTTCTGTTTGCCTTGCATTAAATAGCAGTCTCTGATTACTGCTGTTCCGAGGAGCTCATATGAATCGTTACTGTAATTTCCCCCTTACCCATTTGCTGTCTGTTGATCCTGTAACATGGTGTCTTGGATGATTATTTTTTTCGCCAGATTATTTTAGATATAGTCATTCAAAATTTATATATTTTTAACCTTTGGAAATATTTATTTTCTTTCAGAATGAAGCCGTTTTGAGGGTGTGTTCAGAACCGCCTCCTCCGAGAGCAACCGACATAGCTGGTGTTGAGAAAGACGTTGAAGGGCCAACTTAAATGACAGTTAAAGAAGACCCTACATGAGCCAGAGAGGAATTTGGTGACCCTCGGGTTAATGTAGCAGAAAGTTTTACATAGCAATGGTTGTATGGGATCATTGACCACTTTTCCCCTAATGTTAAATACCATTGCTATGATCTTAGTAGTTGGTCAATGGACATACGCAATCATAATCACAGATCTCTTATCAGCAGTAGCTCTGTACATGAAAAGGAAATATGAAAAAGTCGTTTGCTTACGATGTTCTTGCTTGTTTTAAGGTTCAGTTGATAAGAAAACTCAAAACTCAGCTGCTGCCTGTTTGCTTCTCGTGTGGGCACTCGACATTGGTGGAAAAGGAATGACATTTCCACAGGGAAGAGTGGTGTGAAAGATGAAGTGGTCTAATTTGGCACGTTAAGGGAGTTGGATGGAATGGTGGACCCATAACTACCAAATGAAAAGGTATGAGAAACCCACCTTCTTGTCTGATTTTGACATTGGAAGGGACAATTAGACTTGGGAATTCCTTCTTTCCATACGTCTCTCTTTACTATTTTGGCCACTTGAAGAGATCCTTAAGAGTTAGCATCTCATTTTTACACGTAACAAATCACATGATATTCTTCATCTTAGCACATGTTCTTGTTTACCAATACTTTCCTCATAATAATATATCTTCTACCGTAGACAAAAACATGATTTGAAGTTAGGGATGTAACTCCTAAAATTTCAAGGGATGAAAACAATTTATCAATAGAAAATATTTATGAGAAATAAAAAATTTTAGGGGGAAACTGCCCCTTACCACTCAACCCATCCCTTAATTTACATCTATAGGGTTCGAACCCTAATCCATGAGATGCCAAAGAATTTTAGCCACTTCTCCATTGTGTTAGAAGTTTTACATAAATGGCTTACCATTAGGTTATTGGTTTATCCATTTATGAGATTTTGTTTAAAAAGATTAGAAGACAGAGATAACGTTGGGTGTTTTATGGTAGTTTCTTCTTGAAGGGATTGACCTAAATCATGTGTGAAGAGCCACAACCTTTTGCTGCTTGTAATTGTGGTCCAGTCCTCAACTGTATTAATTAATTTTTTTTAAAAATCTGAAAAAAAACTACCAATTCAGGGGGCCAAAGCCCCTGCCAGCCGGATCCAGTCTCACCCATGCATGTTGTGTTCCATTTTAGATTAATTCTAGTTTAGGTCCGATTATAAATTAACTCTATCTACAGATGTTATGATCTAAGATTAACCCCTCTGTTTGTAATTCTAACATAAATAATAGTTTAGAATAAAAGTACATTTTTTTTTAATTTTTATTCAAATTTTATATTATATATTTTTAAAATTAATATTTAATTGATTTTAATTATAAATTTGAGGGTTTATTTGATGTTTAAGAAAAAAATAAAATTTGAGAAATTACTAAAATTTTAAAAACATTAAATATTCTTAAAATTATTTAAAATATAAAATAAAAAATATATAAGTTACAAAATATTAAAAAATATTTTGAATGAATTATATTGATTATGAGCTGTTAAAAACATATATTTTAAACTTATATCAAAACTTGTATAAATTTAATTTTGAATGAAATAACGAGTATATGTTTAAAATTTATATTTAAACGTTTAAAAGAATTATATCTAAACAATATGATTTGAAAATTCCATGTAGGGGAGGCATACGGGTACAATTTCGTAGATTTCGCATCGTATCTGCTTCAATTGGGGCGGGGATGAGTATAAGTTTAGTGGATAGTAGGCGGGTATGGATGTAAAAATTCATACCCATCGTGGGTAGTGGGTAAGTGATGGGTTTGGGACCTTACCCGCCCTGCATCCGCATGTCCTGCATATGTTCGTCGCACATCCATCCGCCTACTAACTATCTACCATATAAATTTTGGACCATTATGAATTTAAACATAATTTCAGATATTATTCTAGAAATCTTAAGATTTTATAAGACATAACTTGTAATATAATCAAATGTTAGGGTATAAACATTTTTAGAATTGAAGATCATCGTTTCTTGTATTTCAAATCGGTACGTATGGATGGGTACAAACGAGTACGGGATGGGTGGTGAGTATCCGCATGAGAATTGATTTAAGAATGTACCCGCGTGGGCAAGTGTGAATTTAAAAATTTTACCTATCATGAATGGTGGATAGGTGATGAATACGAAAATATTGAGCGAGTATAATGACAGGGGAAGGAATATATGCATCCGCCCTACCCATTTGTCATCCCTCTTTGATCAAATTTTATTGATTTTGAATTATTAAAAACATATATTTTAAAATCATCAAAATTTGTATCGAAACGACGGTCAAGTACAGTTATAATCTTTCAAAATATTTAAGATCCTACTATCTAAAACTACCTGATAACCGCCACATACAAGACTTCACCATCTATTCTATTTTTTTTATACCTCATTCTTAAACAAATCATTACTTGAAACTAATAAAATCTTGGTTTAAATGATTATATTCAAATTTTAAAACAATCTTATTTAAATCTCAAATTTATATAAAAATATAATGTTTCAACTTTCGTTTTTTAAATGAAATATCTATAATCTATTTTAAAACATTTTTATATTTTTTTTTCTTACATCCACTTTTGCAAGTATTCCATTATAAAATATTTATTATTCAATATATATTTAAAAATATTATTTGAAAAAGGAAGAAAAACAAGTATATTATATATGAAAGTGTTGCGTAAAGAAATGGAAGAGCGTGAGCTGACCTGAAACCCATTTTCAGTTGCTTTTGTATGCTCCGCTTATTCTAGTGGTTCACTATGAGCTCCATAGCAATGATAGCATAAGCAGGATGGAATTTTATTTTTCTTTTATGTGTTTAAATATAAGAATAATTTAATTGATTCTTTACCTTAAAAATTAGCTGACCCTTATTCCCATATGTAATGGGGTAAGGGAGAGGTAAGATAGTAGGCTGCCCCCAACGTCAGGTTGAGAGCAGCTTCCGTGAGAGACCTCCAAATTATGAAATGCCCTCCGTGGGACTCGATTCCACGACCTCAAGATTAAAAATCTTGTGCTCTATCAACTGAGCTGGATGATAATTTCTAAGATTCTTTACCTTATAGATCATTATAAAATTAAATATTAAATATCTAAATTTTGACTCATTCAATAACTTCTCCAATATCATCTAAATAATCAAATTCATTTCAATTTATTTTACATACGCCCTTACCTCATCCCCGTATATTTTAAAGGATTCTTATACAAATTGATAATTTTATTTTTGGATTTTATAATTTCCTAAATTATTACCCGAATCCTTTGTCTTTAAATTTAATATTTTATTTAAGTTTGTTTGATATTTTATAGTAAATAGTTATTAATATAATATCATTAAATGTAATTAATGGTAACAAAATAAAACTTCAAACACTTTAAATACATAATAACGAATAAACGTTAAACACCTGCTTTAATAAAAAAAATTCAAATATTTAAAATAAAAACATATAATTCAAACATTTATTTCTCAATTAAACTTTTATAAAAATATAACGTCCACACTAAGTATCAAATTACAAATTATTCTTAAATTTAAATATTAAATTAATATACCTATTTGAGACTTGAATGGTTGTTTTCGGCTTGCCTGTTATCCCATGGCAAGACAAAGGGCTCAATCATGGTGATAAATATATATAATCTATGCCGTCCTTAACCTGTGTGGCCATCCACTTGGCAATCATACAAGCATCAATGACCCACTCTTTTTAACATTTCGGGTTCTCTGACAACACATTTTTTTAATCAATTTTTTGATTACTTGAAACTTCAGATTGTAGATTAAATATGGGTTTAATTATGTGGAGTGAGTCAACAAGAGCAAGGGGACATGCTCCTTTGCATGGAAGACACTTGTACCATATACAAGTGAACACAGATGGATCGAGAGATTGTCTCTCTTTAAAATTTTAAAATTATCATATAATTTAAGTATTTGATTATGTTTTCTTTTGATGATTTATTCTTTTCACTAATATATTAATTTATATTTATAGTATAAAATCTTATGTTGTTCAAAATTTGTATAAGCTAATTTTTTGAACATAAAATTCAAAAAGCGAGCTCTTTTGTGTTGGAGTTGAGTTTTCTGAGATGCAAAATATGATTGTTCTGGGTTTCGCATAGGTACTCTTCCGGTGAGATATTTGGGAGCCCCGCTTTGTTTCTAGGAGCCTTTCTTACTTGATCTGTGAGGGATTAGTGGATAAAATTATTAGGAAAATTCAGTGTTGGTCTTCTAAATGTTTATCCTTTTTTGGAAGATTGCAACTCATTCAGGTGGTTATCTTCAGTGTTCAAAAATTTTGAAGTACAGTTTTTCTATTGCCTTCTAAAGTGCTGAATAAAATTGAAAGTTTATGTAGTGCTTTCCTTTAGAAGGGTTCAGATGGCCTAGCCAGGGGTGCTCGAGTTAGTTGGGAGAGGTTGTGTCATCGAAAATGTGAAGGGGGTCTGGGGATAAAGAATATTTTAATTTGGAATAAAGCTTGTATGATGAAATGGTTGTGGCTTCATCTTGTGTAGTCGGAATCACTTGGGGTGGCTTGGATTGAGAAGTACATTTTGAAGGGGTGCTCTCTATGGAAGACGCCTATGAAGGACAGTTATAGTTGGGCATGAAAAAAATTCTTAAATTGAGGGATGATTATGCCCTTGTTGGTACTAGTATGGATGGGGCTTTCAAGCTAAGAAGGTATGGGAGGTGCTTAGGCATAAACAAGGCAGTTCCTTGGCTTAAAATACTATGAGGGACTTGTTTATACCACGGTACTAGTTTATATCTCGGTTAGTGTTGCTTGATCGGTTGCCAACTAAAGTTCGTATGCTTAGTTGGGGTGGTCAGATTAATCCAAATTGTGTGTTCTGTGATTCTGAAATTGAAACTAGGGATCACCTATTTACTGAATGTGATTTCTCCAAATAAATTTGGAGGGAAGTTATGCAGGTTTGCCATGAGGACGGGTTGTTGATTTGCTGGATGGATATGGTAGGTTAGGTGTAGGATCATAGGAAAGGTAGAACTTTAAAGGCTACTATAATTCAGATAGTTTGGTGCTGCTATCTCTATTATATTTGGCAGGACACGAACAACAAGTTGCACAGTGTTTCCCCCCGTTTGATAGAGGATATTGTTCTGCAGATTAAGCGTAATGTTAGGCTGAGATTAGCTGGGTGCGCTAAGGTTGATGTCTCCTCCTCTGCTTTTGCTGTAGGGTGATGGATTTTGTTGGGTTGTTGGAGTTTTGTTAAATTGTTTGTTTGTACAGAGATGGTTACTTTGGATGAATAATACTTCCCTCATCCAAAAAAAAAAAACATAAAATTATATGTTCGTTGATATCAATGAAAATGTCTGCTCCTCCTATTATTATAATAACTAGGGACATACACAATTTTATATTTGGAGATGCAAATATAAAAGCTTATATTAAAAACACTTAATATAAAAATAAGTGTCTAAAAATTCCGAAAAATGTTTTAGTTCATAAAGAATTTTATTAAAATAGGTGTCTACAGTTTTTTCTGTTACAATTTTAGGTGTCTATTGTTAAAAAAATCGTTAAGTGACATGTGTCACGTTATTTTTTTAAATATTTTATTTTTTTAAAAAAAATCTAAACGTGACATGTGTAACTTAACAGTTTTTTTAACGATAAACACCTAAAAGTGTAAAGGAGAAAATTTTAATTACCTATTTTTAACGAAAAATTCTTTAGGCTCAAAAAATTAATTTTAAATATAATTTAGACACTTATTTTTATACTAAGTCTATTAAAAAGTCATCAATATAAAATAAAAAGAAAATACATATGATATATGAGAATTTAAAGCTTTTGAAAGGTGCATTCACACCCCACTCCTCGGTCTATTCACAACAACAACAACAACAACAATAATAATAATAATAATAATAATAATAGAGTTTATACATCCAATGCCTCAATTAATACTTTGGTTTCGTTTTGGCCACCATAACTATTTTTTTAAAATAATACCTAACATTTAATTTGAATTTATTTTGATCACCATCGTTAAAAAATTAACGATGATGTTGATATGTTTCATAAAATAATTATTTAAAATTTTTAAAAAATATATCAAGTGTAAAAGAATTTAGTGACTAAAATAAAACAAAAGTGATAATTTAGATACTAATAGTATAATCTACTCATAATAATGCAGCAGTGAAGGTGTAAACACTGCAGGGTAGGTGCACAACAATAGGAGAATCTTACTGTTAAAAGTCCTTTCTGAATCTGTTGAGCTGCAAAATTTTCAAAGGGATTGAGAATATTTTTCAATCATGTGCAATTTATTTGAAATTTAGGGTCCACATTTCTTTATGTACAAGGAACACCAGTCTTCCAAATTCAAGTATATCAGTTAACCTTGATTACTTGCAACCTTAAACCTATACTCTTTCCTGTTTAAAGGTACCAAAGCAGCTCACTTCCCAATGTTATTATACTTAGAGTGTAGTGTACATGATGGAAGCTCGGCTGAAATTCTGATTCCCTTCTCTTAAAAACTCAACCCTTTTAGCTTAAACAACTTGTTCTGCAATGTTCATGTGCAAAGCAGTGTGAAGTTGACCGTGTGAAAAACAATGAAAAAAGTACCGAAAGGAGGGTAATATTACAGATTAAATTACAAAGGGTACCCCTTTTTTCTTTTGAATTTGCTCTTCTTTAAAAGATTGGTTAATCAGAATCCCAGGTACATGCAGGAAAAGAAAAGTGCTGAACCGTGTGCTTTTTTTAAGGTTTTCTTCTGAAATAAGAAAAACTATCGCAACAACTGCTTTCTTCATGGTCATCCGTGTCATTACTCGAGACCTGAGTGATCCCACTGGAGACGGAGGATGAGGAAGAAGGGACAAGGTTCAAGTAGGTCTTGTTCTTGGCCAGGAAATCATAGAAAACAGGCCTGCTCTTTGTCCTTGGTTTAACAACCTTTTGGTTGTTGCAAGATTGTTGCAGGCCACCTTCTTCATCGTTTTTAGCACTTCTTTTCTTCAAGAATATGCGGCACAACACCCAATTTTCCATGGGAACCGCATTGGTCTACACAAGTTTTTTGAAAAAGAAAAAAACAAAATCATGGATTTGCTTGACCAATGTAACATGCCAGGTTTTAACAGGACCAAGAGTTTACCTGGGTTTGGTTCTTCTCGGCGCTGACAATTCGATACTCATGCATGATCCAATCTGTTCGACATCCCTTCGGGGCTTTTCCTCTGTAAAAAACCAAGGTTTTCTTCATACCAACAGCTTGGTTTCCCCTGGAAGAAACGATTTGTTTGTCGAGCCCGGTTGCTTTCCAATAGCCTGAAACCGTGGCTCTGTTGGATCTATTGGTATTGGGATACTTGGCCTCCCTTGTGCTGAAAAAGTACCTCTCCTGCTCCAAATCACCTGGTTTTAAAACACCCAAATGCGTCAAAAACAACTTAAATTTGGTTGTAAAACGAGAATCAAATGCAATTTAAATTTGGTCCTTGGACCAACCTGGCAAATCCCAAGGGTCGGCTCTGCAAACGTCGACCTCGGGGATGATAGAGGCAGGCAAGGGGAAAGCAAGCACCTTTCGTCTCAAGTACTGAACCACTAACTCTTCATCCGTGGGGTGGAAACGAAACCCAGGAGGCAATCTCAGCACACCATTCTTTACAAAATTAACCCTCTCCATCTTCAACACAAAAGAAGAAGCCTTGAAGCAGATTAAGAACAAAACCCAGAAAGGAGGAGTCTTGAAAACACCCAATCGAGCCTAGAAAAGAGGGGGAAAGCTTGTAAATTTGTGAAATTGAGAGGAGGAGGGGGGGGGGGAAGTTGGGTATAAGAGGAGGGAAAAGTGTGGGTTCTTTATAGATGGAATAAGGAGGAAGGAAATGGCGTGAACAAGACTCAATCTTTTTTTAGACGCAAATTGAACGAAGGGTGTAAACAAGTAAAATGGGGATTGGGGTCTCTTGGAAAAGGGTTTAAGCTGTTTGTTTTTTTGGTTTGGATGAAACAAGCGAATGCGTCTGAAGTGGGAAGCCTAGTTGCGTTGGACTTCGTCGTCCCCAATGCGTACGGGAATACCCGTAGCTGTTTCACTTCCCTTTCCCTTCCACATCTTATTTTCATTATTCTTCCTAATTTTTCTGCTCTTTCTATTCATTACATCAGTTACTGAATTTTAATTCGGATGTCTGTTTCTATTAGTTTACTTTTAAAAACTGAATATTATTTATGAATTAAGTGTAAATATATTTTATTTAATTATTTGTGTTTGATTCATTAATTGACTAATCTAAATTAAATGTTACAAAAGTTGAATATGGGATGATTTTTTAGACCAAATATAGTTGTGCTTATGATTATGCTTTTAAAATTGTTTATAAAGTGATTACAATATAATATATGTTCAAAAGATTTAACTGGTTGATAACAAAATTCATTAATTGACTAATCTAAATTAATGTTACAAAAGTTGAATATGGGATGATTTTTTAGACCAAATATAGTTGTGCTTATGATTATGCTTTTAAAATTGTTTATAAAGTGATTACAATATAATATATGTTCAAAAGATTTAACTGGTTGATAACAAAAATGTAAACATTTATGTAGATGTCGTAATCGAACTTAAAATTTTTAAATATTAATCATTATTTTAATCACTGAGATCATTTAATTCGCATAGTTACATGGGTGTCTTTCTAAATCTAGGTAGAGAGATCATATTTTAAGATTGGGTAAATTGTGCATTTAGTACCTAAACTATTAGTTTTGATTTGTTTTAATACCTAAACTATCATTTTTAGTATGTTTTAGTATCTGAACTTTCAAAACCATACATAAAATTTAGTTTTTGTTTTATTTTAGCACTATATCGTTAAAAATTTTAGTTTTTGTTTCATTTTAGTACTCTAGTTCAAAATTTATCGTTAAGTTTAAAAAAATTGAAAGTTTAGGTACTAGAACGAACCAAAACTAGTAGTTTAGGTACTAAACGCATTAAAATTTTAATGGTGGTACTAAAATAGAATGAAAACTAAACATTATGTATGATTTTAAAAAAATATTGTGAGTTTAAGTCTTAAAATAAATCAAAACTGATAGTTTAGGTACTAAATGAATAGTTTACCCTTTAAGATTGGGAAAGGGTGACGTCATCCTTATGTCATAAGGTTACAGCTGGAACTCACCAAGCAGAGCAAGGGAATTTTTATTGAAAGTACGGAAATACCCTTCACAGAACCCTTTATTAATGGCGAAGGCCAAGCCCCAATCCTTTTTGGTTGGGGACGACGTATCGTTGGCCGTTGGTTTCTGGATACATTGTATCCTCTGCCGTTAATTCGACTGTAATATCAGTTCAAATTTTTTACTCGATTGTTAAATTAAATAAATAAATATAAATAATATTTTTAAATTTTTTTACCAATAATCAGTTGGTTTAGTGAGATGATGTACTAGATTCCTTAAGCAAAGGTCAAGGGTTTGAATCTTGACGTTTGTGAATTGAGCAAACTAAGTTGAAAATGATTGCCTTCGCCTCTGTAATATCCGATCTAGATTAGTTGGTCGATAAATTACCAGTGATTAATTCAAAAAATTAAATAAATAAAACATTTGGTAGGTTAATCATGCGAGGATGCATTCTATTACATAACGAAAGAAATTTGGTAGCTTAACAGGTCAGCGACAATGGATTATATTATATATGAAAAATATATGAAAAATATCAGAGAAATGGGACAATGAAGCAAACTGGAGGCTTAAGTTGTTTTATACGGCAACAGTAACAGCTTCACTTATATAATTATAATTATAATTATAATTATTGAGTATATGCTTATCTGCCACAAGATCACTTGTGCCAACGACATCAATCCTCCAATATTATTCGTATAAAAATAATAAGCCGTCTTGCCCCAAGAATAAATATCTTCCGTTTAAAATAATTAATTATTATTTTTGAATGATATTTAATTGAGAAAAAGATCTCATTAATTGGTACATAATGTACAGCTTGGTGATAGACAAAACAAGTCGTAGAGAGGACGAAGATGAAGATAATAATGAAGAAAACAGATGCCTTAGTTTCTTGGGTGCCTGAGGGGTCCCTTGAAATTGACAATGTGCCCCTTATCCCTCACAATAACCAAAACCTCGCTCTATTCACGTTGCCATTTGCCAAATTTCCAATTAGGGTTGGCAGTTGTGCTTCTAGGTCTCTAACTAGTAGGACTAGGACAATTTTTTCATACCAATGCTTACATTCACTATAGTATATGGTTGATGATAGGGGGAGACTTCAATGGCCATATAGGTAGTGCAACCGACGAGTATGACGGTGTTCATGGGGGTTTTGGTTTTGGTAGTAGGAACGAGGAAGGGCGTACGTTGCTTGAATTTGGTACTCCACACGATTTGGTGGTCACTAACTCCTTTAACAAGAGAGGTGCGAAGTTGATTATGTTTCATAGCGGGGGACATTGTATCCAAATCGACTACATCCTGGTTCGAAATTGGGATCGATGGGCTTGTATTGATTGTAAGGTGTTCCCTGAAGAGGCATGTGCATCACAACACAGATGTTGGTTTTGGTGTTCCGCGTACGCCACGGGCGGAGCACTCATAGGAGGGCTAAACTTGGTAAACCTAGGATCCTTTAGAAGAACTTACATAGAGCGACAACTGATGACTTTAAGAGTAAGAATTTGTCTGATACAGGTTTTGGAACTACAAACTCAAATAATGCATATATGTTATGAAAACTATGGCAAATTCCATCAGAGAGGTGGGCAAAAACACCCTTGGGTTGTCGACAGGGAAGGCCAATGAACATAAAGAATCGTGGTGGTGGAACGACAAGTCCAAACTAAGGTGAAGACAAAGCAAACTTGCTTCAAGGAGTTTCTACAATGCAATGACGACGAAGAAAGGTCGAGAGCTAAACAAAGATACAAGGAGGCAAGACGGGAAGCCAAGAAAACGGTGGCTAAAGCAAAGGATAAGGCAAACGAGGAAATGTACAAGAGATTAGACACCAAGGAAAGACAAAACAACATCTTCAGGCTTGCAAAATCCAGGGAGAATAGGAAAAAGGATCTAGGTAGCATTAGGTTTATTAAGGACAACAATGGTGTTCTTTTAATGAAAGATCATGATATTAAAAGGGTTTGGGTAGTTACTTATTTGGCTTATTTAATGACGGTGCCTCTCCCTATAGAGATAATATCGTTGATGGGTCAGCCGACCATCATACTACGACCAATAACTGCCCTACAAGTAGGATTGGGTTTGAGGAAGTCAAAATGGCTCTTAGAAAGATGGGAAGAGACAAAGCTGTTGGTTCAGATCAAATTTCTATCACTGTGTGGTTGGCCCTAGGAGAATAGAGAGTTAAGTGCTTGACCAACATCTTTAATATTATTTTAGAGACTACCAAGATGCCAGAGGAGTGGAGAGAGTCTACTGTGATACCAATATATAAGAATAAAGAAGATCCCCAACGTTGTGGCAACTACAGAGGTATTAAACTACTCATCCATACCATGAAGCTATGAGAAAGGGTGATAGAGGCTAGGTTGAGACATGTTACTAGGGTTTTGGAAAACCAATTTGGCTTTATGCCAGGCAGGTCTACTACGGAGGCGATTCATCTACTTCGACGGCTTATGGAGAAATATAGGGAAAATATATAGATCTTCACATGGCGTTCATTGACCTTGAGAAGGCGATGATAGTGTTCCCCTCGATACGATCTGAAAGACCTTAAAAATGAGACTGACCTCAACTGTTTATATCCGGGCGATTCGTGATATGTACTATAAATCTACTACATACATCAGGACTACAGTTGGCGACACCGAGGCATTCCCGGTGAAAATTGGACTCCACCAGGGGTCGACTCTTAGCCCTTACATCTTCGCCTTGATTATGGACGACATCTATTATGCGACACCAGACGGTGTACCATGGTGTATGCTTTTCGGTGATGACATTGTCCTAGTTGCTGAAACAAAAACTGAGCTGAATAGTAGACTGGCTATCTGGAAGACTGCTTTGGAAGAAAAAGGTTTAAGAATCAATATTGAAAAGACATAGTATTTATGTTCAAACTTTAGTGGGAACCAAAACGATGAAGATGTAGAAGTATGCATATAAGGACACGTTCTCCCCTCAAATGATTATTTCAAGTACCTAGGGACTATGATACATAAAGATGGGGGTGTAGATGATGACGTTACACACCGTATAAAGGCGGGATGGCTAAAGTGGAGGGCTACTACTGGAGTTTTGTGTGACAAGAATGTGCCTCTAAAACTTAAGGGAAAACTTTATAGAATGACAATAAGACCAGCGCTGTTGTATGGATCAGAATGTTGGGCAATCAAGAAGGATCACGTAAGGAGGATGGAGACCGCAAAAATGAGAATGCTTCAATGGGCATGTGGTAGGATTCTGTGGGACATGACACTAAACTTTGTTATTAGGATGTCCTTGGGGGTGGTGCCGGTATCCGAAAAATTGAAGGAGGGAAGACTACAGTGGTTTGGGCATGTCCTTAGGCGATAACCGTCGGATGCGGTCAGGAGGGTAGAGTCGATTACAGTCGACGGTGCCAGAAGGAGAGGACGACCAAGGCGGAAGTGGAAAGACTGCTTGAGATCTGATTTGATGGATTTAGCCCTTACCGAGGACATGATCTCTGATAGGAAAGTATGGAGACTTAAGACCAGGGTAGCCGAGTAGTGCGAGTCACATCCATAGGGTGTATCATCTCTGTCTTCTTTTAATGCCTTTGTAGTAATTTCCATGGCTTCTACTTTTTATACG